CCACATCACGTCGGTCGCACCAATGAAGATGGCACAGGTATTCATTGTTTGACAACGCTTTTGCTACCAACACCTTCTAATATAAGCGTACCCACCAAGAGAAATCAAAAGACAGAGTCGAGGAGATCAGAAGAATGTATTTAACGATTGCCAATATATCGGAATTCTCTGATCTAATCTGGCTAGCGATTGCGGTAGATGTTAAGCACAGCGTTACCACACGTGATCAGGTGCGGATACATGACCGAGCGCCTTCAGCTAGATGAGTCCACTAAAACTAATCTGGTCAGCATCCAATGTCGAAAACTTACAGAGCTATTTATTTTCAAGATTTATTTACCGCTGCAACACCTTACTGCTATCACACCTCTGTACAGTCTGCAGTACGACCTCGCCTTCGGATCTTAGGTTTGTTGCTTTTATTCTTACCGCTCTTCAGCCAGCCTGTCTGACACGGTAGGACCTTGTGGAGCGGCTGTTCCATCCAGTATACCCCGGTTGCCTCACCACGATAGGCAAGCCCGACCACCACGTCAAGGTAGCAACAGCGATCGGGGTACCACAAGACAAAGCTTAGCAAGATTTTAAAACTTAACGGAAATACTTCAAGTTAAAGTGGATTAAGAATGCTTTGGATGCAACAAGTACACAAAAGAAGGGATAGTCACAACAAGTAAAAAATCACTGCGAAGATCTTTCAGATTCAAGAGCAGTCTTCAGTCTTCAGTAATAAGGATAGTAGGTTGATGAACCTGTGTTAATCCTGACACATTGCTTTCCAGTGAAGATCCAGCTTCCCCTTGAAAGTATTCACTGATGGGGCTGATACCACTTATTCGGGTAAGGCGTTCCAATGATTGACTACTCGATGAGAAAAACGGGATCCCACTTTAAGTTTATTAGATCTTGGTTTATGAACCTTCTTGCTATGACCTCGGAGATTATTAGTGCTGGAGGGAGCAAAAAGATAAGACATATTAACACCCAAATCATAATTAAAGATACGAAATGCCAGTATAAGGTCACCTTGTGTCCTACGATACGACGAGGGGAAAAGACTTAGGCGTTTTAAGCGCTCATCGTAAGGGAGTCTAGAAAGACCCTTCACTAATTTCGTTCCCACACGCTGGACACGCTCAAGGGAGTTAGTATCCTTTACCAGACACGGGCTAGCTGCTTGGATACAGTACTCTAAGTGTGGTCTTACATAGGTGGGATATAAAATTTGAAACGTTTCCTCGTCAAAACATTTGAACGCTCGGCGAAGTGACCATAACGCCCGAAAACCTTTGACAGCGGCTGCTTTGCAATGCGTAGTTGTTTTTAAATCATGACTTAATACTACTCCTAAGTCTTTATGCTCTTGAACGCAAGGAAGAGGTTTTTCCTCAATAGTGTAACGGTAACTATTACCGTGACCGATGTGCATTAGCACACTCTTCCTAGCATTGATTTCTAAGCCCCACTCTCGAGCCCATCTAACTAAATCGTATAAGTCAGCTTGAAGATCCAGATGATCAGCCTCACTTCTTATTGTTCTCCAGATTTTTACATCATCCGCAAACAATAATGTCGACAACCTAAGTAACAGCGGTAACTCATTAACGTAGAGAAGGAAGAGCAGAGGGCCTAAGATGATGCCTTGGGCTACACCACTTTGATCGGCTTCCAATCGGATAGCGTTCCGTTAACCCTCACTCTCTGTCTGCGGTCACATAGGAAATTTCCTATCCACGCATGTACAGTACCTATTATTCCGAAGCTCGTGAGCTTCTACATAAGACCTACGTGTGAAACCTTGTCAAACGCTTTGCTAAAATCTATGAATATCACGTCGACAGACAGACCGTGATCTAGGGCTGCTGTCCAATCCTCCCTCGCAATAAGCAAGTTAGTCAAGCATGAACGCTTGTTACGAAATCCATGTTGCTCAGGAGCTAACAGATTGTGTAAATCTATGTGACTCAGTAAGTTAACCCGAATCATCTTTTCAAGTAACTTAACGACAATGCTAATTAGACTGACAGGTCGGTAGTTAGATACAATCTGTCGCTGACCATCCTTAAATATAGGACTAACTATAGCGTCCTTCCAATCTCTAGGGAGTTGAGCGAGTGAGAGGGACATGTTGAGGAGTGTCGCAAGCGGTTTTGAAATAATGTCCGCAAGAGATGACAGCAACCGTGAATGTAACCCGTCAGGGCCCGGCATCTTACCAGGTTTGAGGTTAGTTATCAACTGAAGGACAGTTTCCTCAGTCACCTGTACAGATTCAATGGTTGGTATCTCGGTGTGAGTGGGACGAGTATTTGTTACGATAAACGTAGAGAAGACTTCGCTAAAGTAGTCTGAAAAAGTCTCAGCTTTTGCCCGATCTCATTCAGCCAGTAATTCTGAATTATCGTAACGGGGGAATACCATCACTACGTTTCATTCGCCGTTTAACATACGAAAACAATCGTTTCGGACAAGTACGGCTATCATATACTAACTGTCGTTCGTAAGTGGTACGGGATTTCGCTATGGTTTTCTTACAGATATTACGGTATTTTTGGTACTCACGCTTAAATGGTTCATGACCTGTCAACATGAATAAGTCCCAGAAATGTTTCCTACGCTTTAACAGCTTCCGGGTTTCTTTATTAATCCATGAAGGGCAATGTGATAGCTTACGTGCTGACCATGGGATAAACGGCGACGTTACGGACTCGAATGTAGCCTTAAACTTATTCCATTCATCTTCGATCGATCCATCCGCGTCGACCGACAAATCAGTCGAGATAGCACAGTTTCTGATTTCCGGAGTAATCGCTCGCCAGATATTGGGACGGGGTGGAGCAGATACGAATGGTATACCATGTGTCCTAAACTTAAAGTACAGTACAACGTGATCACTGTTCACTAGTGGAGGAAGGTGCTGGATATCAAAGACATCCTCAGAGTGGTGGGTGAGGGCGAGGTCTAGCAGTGACGGAACATGTTGCAAATCAATATGTGTCGGTTTTGTGATACATTGTACAAGTGCATACTAAATGACGGTAGATAAAAGGTTGCTATCGAAACCACTACCTGGAGCTGTAAGCTCTATCCAGTTGATATGCAGTGCGTTGAAGTCCCCAATGATGAGACAACATTCTGCCATACTCCAAGAACAGATGTGTCTTAGGATAAAGTCGTCAGCCAGACAAGACGGACTACGGTATATTCCCCCTATAGTCACTAACCCATTTCTAGATTTAATCTTACAACATACAACCTCACATGTGCCACTGATATGAGCCTCCGATATGGTTGATTGTATACGAAAGTGATCCCTAACGTATAATATTATACCTCATCCTTTGCGACTTGAAACTCTATCACTTCTGATACAGATATAACCAGCAATGAACGGAGAACAGTCTATATCAACGGTGAAGCAAGTTTCTGTAACAACGATTATATCGGGACATATTTCTTGCACCATCAGACTTAGCTCGGACGTTTTATTTCTAAGACTACGAGCGTTCGTGTAGCACACACTTAAGGTGTTTTGGAAATCAATCGTTCTACCCATACAGGCCTCCGAAGCATTGGCTTCCAAGACCTGACTACCCGAAAACCCTTAATGGTAAGGTTATTTTCGCCATTTAATTTGCGAGTCCTCAACTCCGTAAGAGCATTCTTCCACTTGATTCGATCCTCAAGCGGCCAATCTGGTCAAATACGGATATTTGAGGCACGAGTTTTTAGTGCGCCTTTCAATAATATGTCTCTTTTTTCAAAACTCCCGAGAACCAGCTTCAGGATCCTTCTTGGTCGGGTCTCGCCTCCAACCCATTTACCAAGTCGTATTACTTTTGTATTATGTACCCCTGAAATCTCTTCAGGTTGTACATTTCTTACCACAGACTCCACTAACTGCAGGTCATGCGCATGTCTTTTAGCAGGGTCGTTGTCTTTCGACTCCACTAGATTCCAAATAATTAAACTAGGGAGGGGTATAGCTTCTTTTGAAACTGTGTTCACAGCTTTCGACCGTGACGTTAGATCCTGTATTTAACTACTGGTAGCTTACGATTAGTTTTTATTTTAACAGAGTCCTGGGAGTCAAGCGAATGACTAACAACAATGTCAGACGAAGCTTTACTATGAGACTTTGGCGGATTGGTCTGAGAGTCCACCAAGGACTTACCAAGTAAACAGTCATTAGTTTTAGCTATCTTTCCTACTCTTCTGCGTTTTCGCGTCATCCATTTTCCATCAGTCGAAACGTCTACATTAGAACAACTCGGGAAAGTAATTGTTTTATCTGGGTCACCGGTTGCTGCTGTAGCAATATGGCCACCAACGTCTAATGACGTGTCACTCACTGATCGTTTCGGGGGAAAACGTTTAACTGCGGGTTGCACAGGTAGATCTCTGGCTTGCGCCGTGATAGCACTTACGACACTAACGCAATCTTCGCCATCAGTACCAATGTTATCAGTACAGCCCTCATCAACCTTCTTATTAGCCAACACCAGGAGACTAATTGCTTCCTGGATAAGCAATGTTTTGCTCGAGCAACAAAAACTACAAAGCCAATGAGAGTTGGGCTTCGAACACCTATTATATGCAGTGGGGCTTAGTCGGGTGCACATCTTATGGAACCACTTATTACACTCATCACATTGCATCCCTTCATCCACGGGAAATAAGCAGTATGGTTGTCCACATTTATGAGTAGACCTAGCCATCTTGAAAATCAACTAGAACGGTGACAAAAACAGGATATGTAAAAGGATTTTCAAACCTTAACTAAATAAACCAAGTAAAAGTCGACCAAGTATGCTTCGATGCAATAAATACACAGAAGCAAAATCGAAAAACTCAATACAATATCACTTTAACTGTGGTAGATACAATTAAAGTGTAAACAGTAGTTTTGATGCGTAATTTACAATCAAAACAGTCAATTAACTCAACGAGAAAGAATACCACTGTCCTTTTAAATAGAGCGCGTGTCTGTTTGTTAGTAAATTTTCAAATGCATGTACTTAGCGCTTCAATTTGATTATGAAAATACATAAGTCAGATAAATTCATACTGCATGTTGCCTATTTTTGTTTAAGTGCCCTTCTGATGAAAATTTGGTTTTAGAAGAGGGAGTTTTAGTTAGCTGCTTCGTTTGATTATCGAGAATGGCTACTCTGGGTACTGGTATGCGGTGTCTTAAGAGCTGTGTATTCGTTTTGAACATCATCTGTCTGGTATAAAAAGCCGATTTTAATTGTTCCTACTTCTAGTTGTGTTCCCTAGTACTTATTGGGGCTGGTGCCTATGTAGAAGTTAAGTTCAGCCAATATGGAGACAACTTGCACAAGGTCTGGCAGGCAGCACCCATTGCTATAATTGTTGTTGGAGTAATAATTCTTATAGTGAGCTTCTTGGGTTGTTGTGGAGCTATAAAGGAGAACGTCTGTATGCTGTATATGGTAGGTTACCCTAGTCAAGTTTATGCTTGTAGTATGCATTCTTCCTCATTATACTTTTGATTGCTGAATTGGCCGCTGCCATAGTTGCAGTTGTTTACAAAGATAGGATCGATTCAGAAATTGACGCATTGATGACTGGTGCTCTGGATAAACCGACTCCAGAGATAACTGAGTTCATGGATTTGATTCAATCATCAGTAAGTCATAACAGTACCTGTTAACTGTTCTAGTTCCATTGCTGTGGAGCCAAGGGTCCTAAAGATTATGGAGTAAACATTCCAGCTTCATGCAGAGGAGAGAACACGGTCTATCAGGAGGTAAGTCGTAGTTGTTTAAAATGCATGTTGAGTGAACACCGAGTAAGAAGTAGTCATCGTCTGTCTTCCCTCAAACAAAGAAAAAAATCGCTCCATATCTTTCTTTCTACGATTTAATTCTTCCTGTACTATATCCTTATATGCAATCATTCTTATATATATTGCCACCTCTGAATTAACTAATTTTATGAATCCGGTGTTCATCTTGTGTTAATGAGGTATGGCAACTTGGACCAATCCATATTTGTGACTGGTCCTACGTGTCAGCTGACTGACTGATCGTCGTTAAAATTAGCAATAAGTTGACATGTACGTAGCCATATTCTATCGGTAGATTTTCCTCTCCGCAAGTCTGATAAGTGCATGTTCGTACCAACAGTTTTGAACAAGTTCCTGGATATAAAAACACTTACGTAACTTGCAGAACATTATTATTTCTTAAACCATATACCATTCACAACGTTCCTTGATGAATTTGTTAATTTTTGCCTAGTAAATTCATATCGATCTCTAAAGCTATGTAATAAGACATGCGAAATCAAGCCTCGAAAACCACGCAGAACATAAAAAGAACGTGTTAAAGTTATTGGCATTGAACAGTTTTTGCTTTTCAATTTTTAAAAAATTACAGGCTAGACTTGGCGGAAGCTGGATGTGTTTCTCGGGGATTGTATTGTTGTCCTCGTGTGTATGCTTGATTTCAGCTTCAAATATATAATTCGGCGAGGCTCAATTATACCTACGTTTCTACACTTAGTTAGATAGTGCTATAGATCTTACACTTTTACCGAGGTGATACTAATTAATTGTTTATATATATTCTTGTATATTTTAACGGTTATCATTTTTCCATTTTTAGGGCTGTGTACCTGTCTTTGGGGCATTCTTGAAACGCAACCTAGTGATTGTTGCTTGTGTTGCATTTGGTGTCTGCTTTTTCCAGTTGTTAAGCATTGTCATAGCTTGTTGTTTGGGTCGCCAAATAAAGGAGTACGAAAATGTGTAATCCCTGCAAAGAAAACAATATTATGTTTATCGGTCCCCTTCTGTTTTCCTTTTGGCTTTTATGAAATTATGCTTTTTTATTGCCTAGATAATTGTGCCTTGGTTAATAATCATGTGTTCGACTTCGTTTACGATATATATTAATTATACATAAATATGATACTGTCATTCTCATTGTTTCACTTTTTATCATTCTTATACATAATGAGTTGCATTGATTCCCTGGTATATACCTACAAACTGATGACAAATCATCTTCACTTTTATGGTGTCTTATAACCTTTCACGTTTATATAATTTTAAATCTTTGTTACACCTTTTGTTTTACAAACCGCTTATTTTTCCGCTACAGCATTAGACGTTTCTTGTATAAATCAATTCCGTTATCTCAGTCTTCAAATGCGATTGGGGGTTGTTCTAATAATATTTATAGCAGTGACTGTTCGAAGTTTATTCCATTCCTTCGTAATTCCTTTATTTAAAAGTCAGAGCTCCAAATAGATTAAAGCGTCATAGTGTTTGTTTGTCAGTAATTATCCATATTTTTGTTTCAAATACCAAATAATAAAGTATTTATAAAGATATAGTGGAATTTAAAATCAAGAGGCTGGTAAATCGTTATTCCATCTGCGGTACTAACACCCAAAGACTTTAACTACTAGTCAAGTGTAAGTGAGTCTGTCTCTGAGTATTCTGACTAAAATCTTCGAGTTGGACGTTATCCCATCTGACTGGTCACAATCACAATCTTCCCAGTATATAAGAGAGAGTCAAAATCATCCTGTGACAACCATAGAGCGATTAGCTTAACTAATATAGCATCTAAAATACTAGTCTCGATAATTTTCGGACGCCTAATTATGACTCGTGAACTGCAAACACGAGAGAATCAAGCTGGCTTCAGACCTGGTCGTGGCTGCATCGACCACGTACTCACCATTCGTCAGATTCTAGAACACAGGCATACTTATCGGCGTCTGACAATGGTGGTCTTCCTTGACTTAAAGGCAGTATTCGACTGTAGACCGGGAGGTTCTGTGGCACTGTCTGTCATTGGAAGGCCTACCTCAGAAGTACGTAAACCTTGTGAAGGCTTTTTACTGGAGCACTACTAGTCGAGTGAGAGCTTATGGCGAACTGTCATCTACTTTTGCAACCTCAAGTGGTGTCCGACAAGGCTGTCCAATGTTTTCATGCTTGTTTGACTTCACCAAAGACTTAATGATGGGAATAACACTCATCGACTGAATTCTCGAGCATTGATCTCCTACCTGGAGGTCCACTTATCGGCTTAGAATACGCAGATGATATAGTCCTGTTTGGTGAAGACGCTGACAAAATGCAGAGTCTTCTGGTAGCACTAAGCAACAATGCCAGAATGTTTGGAACGCGCTTCTCCCCCTCTAAATGCAAGCTGCTGCGTCAACACCTGAACTAAGGATAGGGAGTGAAGTAGTCGAACGCGTTGACAACTTCACTTATCTTGGAAGTTTGATCTGCCCAAACGGATTGGTGTGTGACAAAATCTCAGCACGAATTCGTAAAGCTCGTTTGGCTTTTGCCAACTTACGTCACCTATGGCGAGGGCGAAATATCCGTCTATCAATAAAAGAACAAGTATATTGCGCGGCAGTCCGTTCTGTTTTAATTTACGGCAGCGAAACATGGCCATTAAGAGTAGAAGACACTCGTAAGCTACTAGTATTTGACCACAGATCCCTTAGAAATATTGCTGGTGTCTGTTGGGATCACCGGGGAAGTAACAGTGAGGTTAGACATAGGGTATTAGGGAATGATGGTAAATCAGTTGATGAGTTTGTTAATCTTCATCGACTGAGATGGTTGGGTCACGTGTTACGTATGCCTGAACACCGATTACCACGACGTGCAATGCTAACCGGTGTTGGAGATGGTTGGAAGAAAGTTAGGGGCGGCCAAACCAAAACGTGGCATCAGTGCTTGAAGTCACTAACTTCTATTCTGAGCCATGTTGGTAGATGCAGACTACTTGATTGGGGTCCGCGTGACTATCGTAACCAATGGTTGGAGACTGTATGTGACATGGCTCAGGATCGGTCACAATGGCGTCGGTGTATACACTCTATCTTCCCTTACACTATGAGACTAAAATTGCTTCGTGACTTTCTTTCTACGTACTCATTATTTCTTCATGTTCTATATCCTTATATGCAATCATTCTTATGTATATTACCACCATTGAATTAACTACTTATATGAATCCGGTGTTGATCTTGTTGTGTAATAGAGGTATGGCAACTTGGACCGATGTATGAATGTGCCTGTTCCTACGTCGTAGCTGACTGACACAAAAATTGGTACAAGTACGCACCAAATAGATATCCGCTTTATTGTTTTATGTGAGGACCGAGATACTGTCCGGTTCCCAAAACCGATCCGTTTTCGTTTGGCCGCATCTAACTTTATTCCAACCATCCCCATCACTAGTCAGCATTGCGCGTCGTGATAATCGGTGTTCAGACATACGCAACATGTGTCTCATTCTCTTCAGTCTACGAAAATTTACAACTGATTTACCATCATTTCCTATTACCCTGCGTCTAACCTCTTTATTACTTACTCGGTGGTCGCAGCAGATGCGAGCAATTTTTCTAAGGCATCTGTGGTCAAATACTAATAGCTTACGAATGTCTTCTACTCTTAATGGCCATGTTTCGCTGCCGTAAATTAAAACAGAACGGACTGCCGCGCAGTATACTCGTCCTTTTATTGATAGACGGATATTTCGCCCTCGCCAAAGGTGACGTAAGTTGGCAAAAGCCAAACGAGCTTTTCAATCCGTGCTGAGATTTCGTCCGATACCAAATACTTCTACTCTTAATGACCACGTTTTGCTAACATTTGATGAGAATTGTTGATTATGATAAGAAACTTCATGGAATCTTCAATTGACCAACGGTCCATTGAAATATAGATTCTTCAGCTTTCGTATTAGCTGATCAAGTTAAATTTTCGAAGTTATTTATCACTTTATACAACTTTTCCTGTTTATATCCTTGACTAAAGAAAGAACAAATATTGTAGCAGAATAATATGAATTCATTTATTTCATGGATTCTCCTTAACTACTTACAACCATAATGTTATTCATTAAAACAAAACATGTACATACTTTGTGTTAGAAACATCTAGATTGAACTTAGTTAAGATGTGGATATAGAATAATTAGAGACCATAATACGAAAGAATTGTCATTATTGAAACTTTTGCTTATTTATTGGTTCAATATATGAATATTTGAGAGGAGCTTAGAGACAGTAGTTAAGTTAAGCTCATAAGTAAGGATTAAGATAAAAAATTTAACTATATTTTATGGAGATGAAGTCTTATTTAATCATTTCGCAAAAAAAAAGAAAAGAAAATCACCATAGTAAAACAAGATTGATAACTGTTTCTTTTTGGACATATAAATTAGGTGTAGAAACCGTTTGATTGCAAGAGTTTCGGTTAAGTGTAACAGTTTTGAAATCTTTTGTTTATTGATTCTTTTGAAAGATCTTTAAACTTCAACATCATGCTCACTGTAGAAAAACTTCTATCCATTTAGTCTCAACTTTTGTGGAATATATTTACAGATGCGAACACAAAACTTCCCTATTTATGTGCTTTGGCACGTATATGTAAACTGATGAACAGAATTGGAAGTAATATAAGGTGGGTATTTGTCAACATTCGACTATCTCATTCAGTTTGATACAGAGATACCAACTTGGTCTTTGGATATGTTCTTTTTAATATTGTCTTTAGTTTAAAATCAATCCTTTCAGCTCATTCATCGCCTAGGCGTTTTTGATATAAAGTATATACACTTGTTTCATTTTAATGATTAACACTATGGTTGTAATCAGTTATGGAGAATCCAGGAAATAAACGCGTTCATGTTATTCTGCAACAATATCATTTCTTTCTTTATTTAAAGTTACAGATAGGAAAAATTGCATCTAATATTATATATCTTTCCAAAGAACATGATTGATCCATACAAGTTTTCAAGTCTTCATGAAATTTCATTAATGAGATATTATATTCAGCATTATGAAAAATAACGTAAAGTAATTTGTTTGGTGTTTCAGTAAGAAAGCCCAATCTCTATCAAGGTTGTGAGAAGATAGGTACTGGATTGATATGTTTACTGTATACGAGGTGGATAGGAATCTATGTGGTAGATAAGGATTATTTCTTATGTTAACTATGAGGAGTTTAATAAGCCATAAATTGATTTCCATTTTGTTCATTAACTAATCAACTATAGGAGTTGCTCCCTAGAATAACTGTTACAATTACTTTGTTGTCTATGCTTAAAGGAAAAGTTTGTACCATCATAAAAGTTACCAACTACAAAGATTCATGAAATGAAACCGACCTCAGTAATCATACCTTAATTACACAGTTGAACTACATAGTTCAATATGATTTAATGATAAGTCAGTTACTGGAAAAAATCAATCATATCGAAAGATAAAAAGTTTGTTATCTAAATTCACTTGGTGTTGTTTTACTTGTATAGATTACACTGTTAGCTACTATCCATCTTTGCTTATAAAGCTTGCGACTTAAGGCTTTATCGAGACAATCCGTACAGGATGTACATATGCCAACATGAAACTGATCAATCGCAGTCCTAAATAACAGGAAGATACAATTAAAACAATACCAAATAAATTTAAACTTCACCCCATTGCACAAACAAGTGGCTATCAGGGCTCAGTAGCTAAGTGTATAACGCAATGACGTTTAAAGTGCACGGTACTGGGTTCGAGTCTCGAAATCAACATCAACTCGGAGATGCAGGTACATCCAACTGACGAGTCCCAAATAGGGCGAAACGCGTGTCCTGGATTCCACTGCTAGCCATTATCCATCTTTATTTTCTAGTTCTTTTTAAAGTTAACATGTGAGCAGTACTAATAAATTGAATTTCCCATGAAAAAGCCTTTTTTTTATATCGAACTTATTAACGGATAGATATCATTATTCAAGGTGATTTCCGACAAAACTCTTTCTATCTATCTTCCTATTGATTAACATAAAGAATTCATTTAATCTTAATTTCCTTATCAATCCAAAATTGATATTAACATATTGACCAAGTTCACATAATAATCCATGTCAGTTTCTTTTTGTTACTGTCCAATGAAGAAAGTGGAAAGAAATTGATTGAAAACCTTATCCATAACATAGCAACGTCACATGATTGTATTGACTATATTCAAATACCTATATATCAACTAATGCGTAGGAAGGAGTGTGAGCTAAATTCTTTATTTTCATTTTTATTCACATAACAGTCTGTATTAGTTAGTGAACATAATAAGTGATAGTATTAACATGTTTCTCCTTAAGAAAGGAGATACGAAACTCATTACTTTCTATTTCTGGTAATGAATAAATACTCATCTTGGTAACGTAATGTTTCTTTTTTCTCATCAATATATTAATTATTTATTTAAGGAAGTTGTAAAGCTTGTTGAATTTTAAAGTGTCACATCATGAACTGACTTTGATTAAACAACTATTGGAAACTCTTTAGTATTGTGTATCCGTA